CGGGAGAAGAAAAAGAGGGAAAAAGGGCTAAAATGCGGCTTTTGCGTGGATACGGTTATAGCTGGCTCTGCACATCCCCTCCCAAGGATGCACGGCGCGTCCTTTCGCCGCTGTGGGGGGAGCAGCGCTTGGCCAGCCTTCCCGGCCAAAAAAAAAAAGGGGGGAAAAAGGAGGATTGCAGCCGGGAGAGCTCGCTCCCATCCGGCGGGGCTGCCGCGGGCGGTCTGTCTTTCCGGCTTGCCGGAGCGCGAGGCTGTGGCCGGGGGGAGTTGCTGCCCCGGTGTTCCTGCTGCGGTGTGCATGTAACGCCTGCCGCCGGTGATGGCAAAACCGGGGGGGCACAGGCAATCCTAGGGCTGCGCACAGATTTTTCTGCTGAAACGCTGCTTTTTTGGGTGAAACATTATTCCGCTCGCAAAATCCACGTGAAATTGGAAATCTCAATACACTGGTTTTAATTTAATTTTATTTTGTTTTGTTCCTGGTAAGCTTAGACCAGAGAAAAATACAAATACAAAGCCTTAAAAGTGGCAAGTTAGCACAAGGGCTCGTTCCTGGGAATATTCGCTTTTTCTAACGGATCTCCCAGATTGTAAAGAACTTAGTGGAACTTAGAAGCCCCATGCTTTGCACCCGAGGTCATTCCTTTTGACAAATGTATTGGCTTGAATATAAAAATAGGCAACAGGACGAGGTCTCACACCCCGCCTTGGGTTGAACACTGCCTGGGGCGCAGGGGTAGTTGTCAAAGAATATTTGGTTGGCCTATAACATTTTAGCGCTCGCTCCCAGTTCCCGTAGAGCGGAAGCACCCGTACCTCATGTGTAGGACCCCACAGCTCAATAACGTGACACCCGATGTTCCTGCAGCTGTACATCGGAGGGGTTTGTGACAGGCAGGATTGATTCCCCGGGAATCCCGCAGGCCCCGGCGCAGGCGGTGGTTGTGTGGGAGCAGGAGGGGGGTCCTGGCACCCAGGCCCACCCATTTTTAACCTTTCTTCCCCATCGTTCCCCCCATTTTTGTCCCGTTCGTGCCTCCCTCTGGCCTTTGCTCTGCCCCTCAAGTGCCGCGTTGTCTTTAGCTCTCCTTCATCACGAGTCCATCTGTTACGGGATCCATTCTGTAGGGATTTTTTGGAAAATAACCGTTCACCCTGCTTTGCCATCCTCTCTGGTGCATTGGTAGGGGGTTCAGATTAAGATTTCGGGGCGTGTACCACTGGGCATGCCCTGGATCTTGCTTGGAGAGCATCCACGGGGAAGTGCCACGTAAAGCCAAAACGTTTTGGACGGTAGCGGCGGTGGCTGAGGTCCCAAACAGAGGAGGCAGGGCTGTTAGAGCCAGACCTTCAGAGGACTGCCCCAAACCATTGGCCTTCGTAACGAAGCCTGGAGCATGCAACTCCTAATTGCAATCCGTCGGTTCTGACCCGGCACTGCTGCTTTCCTCTGTCCCAGCGCCAAACCGAGCCGGGTGGGGGGGGGTCTCGGTGTCCCCAGAGTGACAGTGTCACCCGGGAAGGGGCCAGCCGTCACCTCCCCGCCGGCTCTAACAGGGTGTGGGACGTCTGATGGAAGCTGTTCCCTCCCTGGAGCGGCTCCTTGCCCCGCTTACGGGTGTGATTTGGTGCTTTGCTTGTGTTTTTGTCTTTTTATCGAAAAGTAGACCTCTCTCTAAAGAAAGAACAAACAAAACCCCGCAGGCAGGATATTTATGCAGATGTGCTCTAGATGTTTCTTGGCTCTGATGTCTTTTATGTAAAACTGCGTGGCGTATGCCTGGGTGGGATAGCGGAGGCAGGTGTGATAAATCTGAATTTTCACACACCAAAAATTACAGCACGTTTCTCCGCCGGAGCTGCAGGGCAGTGAAAGGCGCCATTGTTTGTTTGGGATTAGGTCTCCCTCAAATCCAGGCACCGTTCAGGGAAAAATTTAAAAATAGCAACCAAATCCTAAGCGAGGCGCATAATCCGGTTTGGCTCTGTCTGCTGCCGTTTGCGTTTAGGCTCCCCAACCGCTTCCGACCCCGGGGGGCTTGGCCGTGGCTGAACCCCTCGCGCCCTCGCTGGGGGCTGCCCTGCACCCCGGGGGCACCCGCCCTCCCCCCCCAGCTGCCGCTGCAGGGCCTTTTTACGGGAGCGC